CATCGTGTCTGTCCCCTGCCTGTGGGGACACTGCCTGCCTCAGTCCTGCCTCAGGGAGCATCTTTTCACCCTCGGCTGCCAGCGTGGGCACAGTGAGGCTCCCGTGTCCCATGGCAGCCGAGGGGGCTGCAGGAGTGCCCCTGGTGCTCCCAGGACAGGAGCCAGCCCCGTGGTGCAGGCTGGAGCAGAGGTGCTGGTTCTGTTCTCAGCGGGCACACACTGATGTTTCTGTCCCCTTTAGAGCAGGTGACGCTGGACCCAGAGACAGCACATCCTTGCCTGATGTTCTCGAGGGACCACAAAACGGTCTGGGTAGGAGCTGGAAAACAGAACCTCCCTGACAGCCCCAAGAGGTTTATGAGCAGCCTCAGTGTTTTGGGCTCCCAGGGGTTCACATCTGGGAGGCATTACTGGGAAGTGGAGGTTGAGGAAAACGGTGGCTGGGCCGTGGGGGTGGCCCTGGAGTCCGTGCCAAGGAAGGAGCTGCTTGACCTGCAAAGATCTGAGACGGTCTGGGCGCTGCGAATGGAGTCAGATCACTGGTACAGAACATTCTGCATGACCCCTGAGGTGCTGGCACTCAGGGATAAACTCCGGAAAATCAGGGTGTGCCTGGACTATGAAATGGGCCGAGTGACATTCTATAACTCAAAGGCCATGAGACTGATCCTGCACTTGGAGGCCACCTTCACTGAGAAAGTCCTCCCGTATTTTTGCATCTATTCAGTGGAAACCCTGATCCGGGTGTGTGACTGACAGGGTGGGCTGGCTGCTAGGCCCCTGGCGTGCCCTTGGCTGGCTGAGCAGGGAGGAGCTGCGGCAATGACACGGCATCACTCTGCAGCCTCCCTGCAGCTCTGCCTGCCCTGGACCCTCTCTGCAATTTTCTGCATCTCCTCCCGCCAAGTCCTTTGAAGCATTAAAGAAGTGCTGTCGTGCCTGGGGCTGTCTGCGTGCTGCTGTCCTGCCTAGGGGCCATGGGGATGGTGTCCTACCTCTCCCTGTGGGCACTGAGGCCACACAATAATCGGGAGGGAGGAGGGAAGAGGCTCTGATTGTCCATGCCAGCCTTTGGCAGCACTGCAGGGCTGGGGGCAGCTGGGCTGGGCTGGAGGATGCAGCCAACCTGCACTCAGGAAGCCAGGCTGGAGCCCCAAAGTGATAATGATGTCTTCAATTTTATGTTTCATATTTTTTGGATTCTGTGCTGCTTTGGTGTGTAGCTTTGAGCTTTATGGTAAGTGTTAGGAAGTTCTCTTCACCGGGTAGGTAGACAAAACAATCCTTTTCTAGTTTGAGACGAAGGATACAAAGTCCTGGCCCAAAAAGCAAAAACAACTGAGAATTGAAGAGAGAAACACAGACGATGGAACTTCATAACCTGAAGCTATAATTGGTCAATAAACTCCAATATGCAAATGGAGCAGAACTCATAAAAGCATGAGACCACGCTTATAAAAGTGTGAGCGCTCGTCCATTTTGTGCCTACTTTGGGTCTATCCTGGGTGTAGCCCTGGCCGGGCTACTGCCCAAGATGTAGCCATTAAGGCCTTTTACGAAATCCTTACTTAATTGTTTAGGTCTATCTAGCCTCTGTTCTAGGTCAATCTTCATAAGGCCTCAGTTCTGGCACCCTAGATGGGACAGAAACCACAGTTTCTGGCTTAGGAAGCTGATGCCTTATCCATTAGTGGTGATAACTGCTCAAAAAGTTTGTAAAAAGGAAAATGTTCAGGGATCGATAGCAGGAGTTAGTGAGGAGCAGCAGGAGCTGGGGTGTGATGGCGGTCTCTGAGATTTGGCCTGGTTGGGGAAAGAGCTAACACCCACATATTTATCCAGGAATTGGCATTGTGTGACTGGCAGGGCCCAGGCAGAGCAACACGGCTTGTGGGTCGTGTCCTGGAGATCTCCTGGATCCAAAGCGATCACCTGGACACAGCAGCCTCTGGAACCACCAGAGGGACATGGCAGAGGATTTGCCAGGGCCTGGACAGCAAGATCTGCCAACCCCGTGCTGAGGAGAAGTTGCGTGTCGTAAAGAGTTTGTGTGGAGTACACGTGGGGGACTGTCAGTCTCCCTTCTCCTGCTCCTCTCTCCGTGAACCCCATCCTGGGGTCGCAGGCCCGTGCACTGCCTTACTTCCCCAGCCACTCACCAAACCCCCATAAAGTGGCTTTTATAAAGTGGCTTTTGTTCTCATGGAGAGCTTATTTGAAGAGAAATTATATGGGAAGGGCTCTTTGAGGAGAAATGATATGAGAAGGGCTCTTTGTGTCAGCGAGGTGGTGTTATCTGCTGAATTTGTGCCTTTTTTCCGTCATGTTCCCCATTTTCCCCTCACGCCTAGGCTACAGGGAGACGGCCGGAAACATGGCGGCAAATACGCGCCTCTTTGAGGCGGGAACTACATTCCCCAGCATGCAACGCAGAGAGCGATAACCTGGCGCGCCTGCTAGGGATTTTGGGAAATGTAGTCCTTCCCCCGCACTGGCGCGCATCCCCCCCACTCTGGCTTCCTCGCGTTCCTATTGGTCCAGAGCGACGCCAAGCAACCGCCGTGGGCGGGGCGTGGCCGCGGCGCCGCCGTTCCTACTGGCCAGGGCGCGCGCGGTGGGAGGGGAGGTTTGAAAAAAAACAACCCGCCCCCCGCGGGGCTCCGCGCGCTGATTGGCTGAGCCGCGGTTTGGCGCCAGCTTCGGAGGGGCGACGGGTACCGGTTGGGGTCAAAACGCTGCGGCGGCCGCGCTGTCGGCAGGGACGGGACGGCTGCGCTGGATTCCCGGTCCCCCTCCGATGGATCCCACCCCGAGCGCTTCCCACCGCCGCCGCCTCCTGCTTCTCTCGCCGGCGTCCCCCGCCTCGCCCGCCGTGGTCAAGGCGCTCTTTCAGGATGAGCTCTCGCCTGTCTCGGACCTTCGCCTCACTATGGAGCAGCTGGGGCGCGGGTGAGTCGGGGCCCGGGCATTTTCCTTTTTCTCGCCACTGTCCTGATCCCCCCAAAAAGCGAGGTTTGGAGGCTTTACCGCCCGCTTCTTCCTCCTGCGCCAAGAGAGCTTCTTTCTCCTTTCCGCCATCCCCCCGAGCCCTCCCGGGCACTCTGTCCCCTCTCTGGAGCGTTTTGTTTCCCCTCCCGGACCCGAAGCGAGGCCTAGGGAGGCTCCCCCATATATAAAACCCCCAAGGCCTCCTGGAGTCGTTTTCCTTCCGTCCCATCCACCCCCGTAATTCCCTCCCGCGCAGCGAAGCCTTTTGGAATTCCCGCCCGCCCCTCCAAAAAAACCCCCCAAACTCCCCTGGGATGTCTTCCAGGGGATGTGCCTCTCTGAAGCCCCAAAGCCCCAGTTTAGCACCCCCTTCCCCAGCCCCTCCGGAATGTCTCTGCTCCCTCCTCGGCCCTGGCGGCTATCAGGAGAGCTCTCATTTCCTTCCCTGTCCCTCCATTCCCCAAGGAAGGCCTCGGGGTGCTCCTGTGTCCTCACCCCTCAGAAAACCCAGCGAGGCCTCGTGGGTCCCTCCTTCTCCTTTCCCCCATCCCCAGTGGAGGCCTCGGGGGTCTCTCGGTGTCCTTGTCTCCCCGGCAGTGAGGCACTGGGGGCTCCTGCTGCTGCTCTCCCTCCAGCCCAGGCCTGCAGCACCGCTTCTCCCAGCCCTTCCCCAAAAAGCGGCGCCTCCCGGAGCTGTTTTTCTCCCCACGGCCACCCACGAGGCCTCAGTTGTGGCCCTCCCTCATGTGTCCCTTGGTGTCCCCCGTCCTTTGCTGGTGTTTCCCTCTGTTCTCTCCTCATCCCGCATGGATCCCCGCTCTGGGACACCTTCCCCCTGTCCCACAAACCCCTTTGTGTCCCTCCCGTGTCCCCCTGGCTGCCCCGTCCATCCCAGCCCCGTTCCTGCTCTCTGCTCTGAGTCCCAGGTGCTGCGGCCTGTGCTGGCAGCTGCTCCCGTTCCCCAAACTGCAGCCACAGCTGCTCCATTTTGCTGCTCTCTGGACTCCTCTAATCCCATTATTCCCACAGCTCCTCCCTTGTGGGGCTGCTGTTTTGTCCTGGCCCACTCAGATCTCAATGACCCTCCTGGGTTTTATTTGTTGATTTTCTGTCATTCTCATTTCTGCCACCACCTGCTTTATGGTCCTTCCTTCCTTCAGATTCCTGGGATTCTTGCAGACCATGGGCAGTGCCCCCCTTGGAAGTTATTCAGCTCTTTGAATTTGTAGCCCTGGCTACTTTTTTTTTCTTTTTTTTAATTAACCACTTGCTGGAGCCTCGCTCAAGTAGCTTTTCCCTTATATATGTGGGGCTCCATGTGATTTTCTTCTCTCTCAGCACTGAGGTTTAGCAGATAAAACAAAATTTGGGAGGTAATTATTTATCAAAATGGAGTTTGAATTAGAAATCTGGCAATTTTCTCTATGCAAAACTTGAATTAAAGGGGTGGCTGCCAAAGAGAGGATTGCAGTTCCAGGAAGGATAACTGGGCTCTGGGAGGAATCCAGGTGATGCCCACCTGTGCTGTACCTAGCTGCAGTGTTGTGTTTCTTGCTTTTAAAACAAATCCCAAACTTTCCTTTCCAGGCAGCGTGAAAACCTGGACCAAGACATGGGAACCAAAAATGGATTGCACAGATCAGCCTCTTCAGAGTCCACAGACTCAGGTGGGGCTGCCTCAATTAACAAACAGTGATTAGGAATTGGAAAGCAATGCACTTCTATATGGCACCTGGGGTTTGGAGAGAGGTCTGGCCCTTGGAAGGAGGGAGGCAGGTGGAAAATCCCCAGGAAATCTCTGCAGCTCAGGGTTTGGGCTGTGGATATAGATATATATATATATAATTTATTTTAAGTTTTTTTTTTTGCTATAATTGTCCTGGAGACTGTGAGGAGTAAGGAGGGAAAACAAGTCCTCCTTTTTTCTCTCTTGAAACCCAAACTGTGCCAGTGAGTGGCTCTGTCCTGTGTTTTCCTGTCACCCAGAGCTGGTTGATGATCTGAAACCCCTCAGTTCTGCTACTTCCTGGGAGGATTTCCTGTTTTTCACACGAGTTGTTCTATCGGTGCAAATGAAATAAGCTCTCACCCCATAACTTGTAGGTTCCCTCTGGTGCTTCATTGCTCCAGCTGAGGGAAATCACTGTTTCCACCCGGATTTATGCCCCATTTTGAGGGCACTTTCAGCCTAAAAAAGAACTTTGTGAAGTGCTAAAGCACGAGTACAGCTCACAGACCATGGAGCAGGACAGGGCAACCAGCCTTGCTAAATCCTCCCTTTCTGTGGCTCCTCAGGAGTCCGTGCTGGAGTGACTCTGGATGTGTCTGAAATGCTCTGGGGCTGTAAAGCTGGGCTTGCTTTGTGCCTCTGAAGTGCTTCCTGTTAATCCCAGGACATTCAGATCTTTTGACTGCTTATTTTTGGGAATGAGCCCCAAATTTCTTTGTAGGTATAACTAAAAGCATGGCTTAAAAAAAAACCCTAAAGGACTGAATTGTTTATTAAGGTGTGTGTGGTGGATAAACAGAGTATTCCATGCTGAGTGCCAGCACTGTGTTCCATGTGACAGCCCAGGCAGGGCTTGGCAGGGCTTGGGGGGCTTTTTTAAATTCCCCCTGATTTTCCCCAAGCACTGATGATCCACAGCCAAACCCATGGTGAAGAGCGGCAGTAACTTTTTTTATTCTGCACTGAGGTCAGGCTGCAGGTGGGACTTTGCACATGAATTTCCTGGGTCTTTCTGTGGAAATGTGTAGCAGTGTGTGATAGTTCCTGGGTATAAATGAGTGGGAAATGTGTGATATCCCTGGCTATGGATCAGTGGGAAATCTGTGATATCCCTGGCTATAAATGAGTGGGAAAT